TCTGCCGTCTTTCTTTGGCTACGCCATTCCAGATAAGGTAGCAGACTAACATGTTCCCAAATATTCAGATCCTGGTGGAAATTCTTGACACCAAGGATAACCGTTAAACTTTCCCAGTCCAGCTGCATATAGTACCTTTCCGATGGCGCCAAACTTCTGGACGCAAAAACTACTGGGCGCTAGGTCATGTCTTCTATTTGGGGTGATAGTACGGCCCCGAGCCCTGTGGGAGACGCATCGTAACGAAGAGTGATCGGTTTCTTGGGGTCAAAATGCACAAACAAGTTAGCGTCGCTGATAGATAAGCTAACGGCATCGTAAACTTTTGTCGTTCATTGGACCACAGCCACCTGGTATTCTTGCGAAGTAAAGTATACAACGGGTAAAAAACGACTGAATTGGGTTACCATCCCAAGAAATGATTGCAGTTTGTTAATATCTCGGGGTGTTGGAGAATCCAGAATGGGTTAAATATTTTCCCCTAGAGGATGTAACCCTTGTTTGTCCAATCGAAATCCTAGATACTTAACGGTGTTACAAAAGAAGACGCATTTAAATTCCTTGAGTTTCACACAGCTATCCTGAAGGCGCTTCAAAACTGTTACATGTGCTTTCATATGTTCGTAAACGCTAAAACAAGTAGCCAAAATGTCGTCCAAATAAGCGCAAACTCCGGGCATGCTTTTCATCAAGCTGTCTATAATTATCTGAAAGATCGCTGGCGCAGAGTGCATCCCGAATGGAAATCGGTTGTAGCAGAATAATCCCATGTGTGTATTGGTGGTAATTTTCTTTGTGCCCCATGCTGAGGATGATATTGCATTCTTGATGCTTCTTCACCGCAGTTGGGTTAAACCAACTTACACTTAAACTAGAACTTTTTAAGCTGGCTAAATTTCATACCACTATTTGGTTTGTTCTGTATACCTGAATAAACTTCTATTAACGGGTCACGTTGCTTGCACTAATTGCGCTTATCTTCGGTAACATTGTCGCACATGTAGCAGTTTTTAGTAACTTGTGGACATTTGTTCCTTACCGCGGATTCCCTGCTAACTAACTTACTTCATATGCTAATTTCGCGAAGAGTTATGCCACCGAAACTGTACGCATTAATGGATTTGTTTTATTTCATCTTGTCGTTTCAAGTGATTGGTTGTTGTTTGATATTCCCGGTGTGGCTGCCCTTGATGTGCATGTTGACAAGGTGCCTACCTGTCTATTACCCACTACCTCGTCCATACTGGCTCCAGGAGACAGTTGGTCGTTGCTGGAGAGAACGGTGTGCACGGTCCTTGTGGCTGTGCTAGGCTCGAAAATCGGTTCCATGCAATCAGTGAGGAACGGACCACGGTCCAGCCACCACCTTGTGTGCGCTTGATTCCCCAAATACAGTGTGCTTGTGTTTGCCTGTAAAGGAGTGTGGGCCGGCTCCGTTGATGAAACGTGGCTCACATCCACATGCCTCCCGGTCTTATTCCTTCGGGTTTACACTGGATATGGGGTGTGTGGTCGGAGCTGTGGGTGGTACAGCGCAAGCCACCTATGGTCCCTCTATAGGCGCAGGCGTCCTGTGGTTGGCCACAGTGACAGGCAAATCCGGAACCGGATGCCGCCAACTAATATAGAATTACTGGTAATGATCGATCCTAATTTGTTCAAAATCCGGAGTGGATTTAAGTTCTACGGCTCTATTTACGCAAAATTAATTGGATTCAATAACCAACCCAAATTAGTTTCAACTTCAGGACGACACCAAATAGAGCCGTATAAACGCTGGACAATTAGTGTGGTTGTAAACGTCAATCTGGCCACAATCCAAAGTGCTAACGAACTGGTTCTTAGAGCTGGTGGGTAATCGTGTGTTTGACGGTCACTTAAACTCCAGATTGCAGCCTGTGCGTTGAGCGGATACATGTTTTTAGGGGTAGACAAAGGCTTGCCCGTGGACAGGTGAAGGAATCTGAACCCAAATCGTTCTAGGTCATTCCGTGGGCGCGGATCTGTGGAGACCCACATTGATCTAATTAATACCCATGCGCGTAAGTGTTGACGGTCGGGGTAAACACGCACATACACATGGTTGGCGGTATCCGGTTCCGGATTTTGCTGTTACTATGGCCAGTCACAGGACGCGTGCGCCTATAGAGGGACCATGTGTGGCGTGCGCTGCACCACCCACAGCTCCAACCACACACCCCATATCCAGTGTAAACCCGAAGGAATAAGACCGGGAGGCATATGGATGGGAGTTACGTTTCACCAACAGAGCCAGCCCACACTCCTTCACAGGCAAACACAAGCACGCTATATTTGGGGAATCAAGCGCACACGAGGCGATGGCTGGACCGTAGTCTGCTCCACACTGATTGCATGGAACCGATCTTCGAGCCTAGCACAACCACAAGGACGGCGCACCTCGTCCCCGGTAGCAACGAGAAACTGTCTCCTGGAGCCAGTATGAACGAGGTAGTGCGCAATAGACAGGTAGGCACCTTGTCAACATGCACATCAAGCGCAGCCACACCGGGGATTTTAGGCAACAGCCAATCAATTGTCACCGTATCTCTATGCACATACACATAAACGTGTTCACTGATTTAGGGGTCAGAAGTCTACGCACAGTAGTCACGCTGCCACTCGGGAACCACTGGATGGTCAACTTATGGTTGGATTATTGCTGACCGTCAAGGATCAAGTGGTCAAAATACAAAGATCTGGTTCCATAGATGTTACACAGTGACCGTCCAAGCTATGAAAAAGTGGTCAAGTTAGATGGGTGGTCAACATATAGAGGTGGACAACCTTGGAGATTTTACTGCATATGTATATAGGTACGCGAAAGTTCTGTTTTGCTTCCCTTCGCAACGTACTAGCTACTCAATTCTAAGGTGCAAGCCAGGAGGTATCAGTGAATGCCGCGCAATCATACCGGTAAGCAATTCATCATCATCATCATTATACGATAGTTGAGGGTGAGAAACACGCCTATGCTTATTTGTCGTAATACCACAAAGATACCAAAAATAACACTAAAAAACTCAGAAAATCAAGTAATATAATGTCGAATATCATATTATTTATCTGCTATGAGATCGTGATTGGAGGGGAATCTAAAAGAGAGGGGATGGAGAAAGAAACTCCCAGCATAGACACCATGGGGGCCGGCTCCTAGCCATACCAGCAAGTGCGTCCAAGCAAACGTGTTCATCGTCCTTCGGACCCCAGCTCGGTAGTCGGGATGGACACCATGTTCGAAGTGAGGGCTTTCATTCCTCTTGACGAAGTTATTGCTTGGCCTCCCCTTCTCTTCCATCCAGACCCCGGGAGCAGCAAACAACGCACGTCGCAGGAGTCGGTGGGCTGGCATGCGCAACACGTTGCACATCCATCGGAGCCTGGTGATTGATATAATGGTGCTTAGCGGATCACTCGCGGCGAGCATCTATATTTCCCCATATGACCAAACGCGAAGCATAGGCACTCTACGATGAGTTTACCGCGACTGTCGGTGGTTCCATATGTATTTTTGCTGGAGATTTTACCCGACTTGACAACACGTTTCTCAAAAGTCTTGGGCCACAGAAAATCGTAGTCTGCCCCACAAGGTTTAAAGCGACTGTGGAGCTGTTAATTGTTAACGTGAGACTGTTCTCCATATGTACTAGGGCGCTGCTTGACAGATCTGATCACTCAACAATTAGACCTTGCCTTGTCATCTACACGAAAACAAAATACAATAAAAACTCAAGGGACTAGACCAAAGTGGCCAGCATCCAGAAGCCTGGACGTATAAGGTTTACAAAATGAACGTTCAAGCAATGAAAAGAAACACGGTCAAACTTGCTCTACCATAGAAGGAAGCTGTCAAAAGTGCAGATGGAGGCAATGTCCCAAACATAATATTAACCGACTACGAGAAATGGTATCTACCACCGACACTTTTGACGCGGATGCACCTACGTATCACTATCGTCGTTAGTGCACAATAGGTGCAGGTGAGAAACCCCATAGTTATTGTGCCGCAATACAAAAAATAGAATATACGAAAAAGTGAGACAATAAACATCATGGAATACAGAACAGCTACAGATGACATACTCCTTAGTACCATACAATACTTCAAAACAGAAGTCGTGCATAGGAGGAACAGACAAACGAGATGGGGAGGGACAAAAAGGTACAACCCAAACATCACTGAGGTAGGCTTATTGCCATCCCCACAAGTCTATCCAACCAAATGTGTACATGGTCAATCGGACCTCAGCCCAGCAGTCGGGAGAAACTAACCGATAGCACGCGCAACATGTGGCTTAGCCATCGCATCCTGGTGGGTGATATAACGGTGCTGAGCAGTTCATCCGCTCTTCTTGCACCAAATCCGCGATGCCGAACACGCTCATTGCTCAGGCGGTGCTCCGCTCAGATATAAGATAAGCTGCGAAGGCAGCGATAATCGAACGCAATCAGCCTATTTATGTTTATGGACTTGATAGGCTAGGTTTCGCAACCGCATAGGAGAGTTGAACGGCTAGCTGTCTTTCAGAGCGTAATAGGTGGCGGAGTCTGGCAAAAGCGTTTCGAGTTTTTGCTGTGGTTTGTGATCTCATTCTACTGGCGCTAATATATCCGCCTAGATACTTGGATTTCTCGACGAATTCTAGCTGCTCACCGCCAATAGTTAGCGTAGGAGTGGGTCCCTGTCAATCTTGGGGAAGAACTTTGCAGTTCGATGATGCAAAGCATAGCCCAAGACGATTGACAGCCAATGCAAACTTGCCCAGCGCTACTTGGCGCGTTTGGGAGCCGTCAAAGGGCAAGGTTATCGGCGCACTCCAAGTAAAGAAATCGATCCACCTAGGAGCAACTGCACGCCTTGCCGGTAGTGTCCAGTGAACGCATACGTCATGATTTCCTCCGTGGAGAAAATAAGAAGTAAAGGTGACAACGGCCATCATTGTCTCACACCGTTAGAAATATTGTAGGGCGGCGACAGCTGGCCGAAATCAATCACTCTGCCCGAGCTACGCGTGTAAAGCGCTCTGAGAATATTTGTTTATTGTTCGGGCACACTTTTCCTGAGTACAGAGTCCCAAAGGTACATTGATCAGCAGAATTGAAAGCACCTTTGATATCGAAAAACAGGGCTACGATGGCTCGCCAACAAATGGCGGTGCTGCAACACCTGACACAAGGTGCAGATATGAGCAATACAGCCACAGAATCAACGAAACCCGGTTTACTCCTCACGAATCTGACTTTAATGGTGCCAGCAAGTCTATGATGTGCGACGGAGGTGAGTATCCTATAGGTAATTGAGACCAGACTGAGCTCTCTAAGATTTACATATTCGGAAGGTGAGCCCCATTGAAAATAGGGATCATAACGGAGCGCCTCCAATCTGTTGGGACAGTTTCCGACCTCCACAGCTTCGGAAGTTGCGCAGGTCATTTACGAGAGCAGGTCCCCCGAATCTAAAGAGTTTGAAGAAGTCTATCCGCGCCTGTGGATTTAACTACTTTCAACAGTCTGATCTCACGTCCGACTTTTGCCCGTGAAGAAGAGTCCAAGGACAAGGAAGAAGGATGATCATTGGCTGATGGGCAAGCCGTAAACTGGTTTATTAAGCTGCTTATCAAAAGGCTCGGCCCAGCGCTCCAAGTGTTTCGACAAACTGTGGATTGGCCGTCCATCTTTGTCACTCTTAGTCTCACGAACGCCAAGTTTCCTGCTGCCTGTTCCCCGTATCAAACGAAATAACTTCCGATGGTAACCAAAGACAGTGGCTGTCTCCATCTTCGAGGCACGAGAGTACCAGACTTCGCGGTCTCACACCAGGCTAGCGCGCAGCTTCGCCCTGAAGTCATTGCGAGTCCCGTTGTGTTCACTCCCTGACGAAATTTCTCGGCGAGCATCTGTAAGTTCCAGAGACTACATAGTGACCCAATGTCGAGATAGGCAATTTGATTTGCCACATGAAGATGCCTGCTGCTAACATACAGTGGATCTGCAACCGGTGGCTGTCTACTGTGTCCATAGAGAGCTTACTCAGATCGGACGTCAGCGTACTTCGATAAGCATTCAGAACATCTGGTTTCGTCAGCTGGCAAGTGTCTATGCACGCACAGCTACGCTGCATGTGCCCACCGAACCAAACAGTAAGATCAGCACAAAAGAGTGCGTGGGCAGTTCACGCTCATGTTCCAAACCGAGCGACAGTTTTGGACCCAACGTCTCCAGCGGTAACTGACCGCGGTTCGATCGATTTGTGTCCATGGCTGGTGGGCGCCATGTCATCCTTTGCGGGTGTTATGTTATGCTCGTGAAAACTAGGTGACACAGGTGTAACAGCCGCTCAGCGTTATCAATGCGGAAGCCTACACCGTGTTGGCCGCCCAAATGCAGCTCATCACTGGACAGTGTTTCAATTTGGGCGTTCAGAGCACCAGCCATTAGTACCCATCCCGTAAAGAAGTAACTCGTTTAGTTGGTGATAGAATTCATCTTTCACTGAGTCAGCGTTATAGTTAGGGGGCGTGTACGCCGCAATGACAAGCAGGCACCGTTTATCTGCGCGCGACTTCGAAACATTGGACAAGCCACCCAATCTGACGGCGCACATCTGGCTTCTGAGTGGGATCCATGCACCCAGGACATCTTCAGCCCAGGGACTCAGAACAATGTCCACACCGACTTCAGCAGTATTTGAAACTGCGTTATCTCCAGAGAGAAGCAAGGGAAACTTGCCGCCAGTGTCGCTTGTGGGGAATCACAGGTTAATGACGGAACTCGCATCTTGCAGGTGGGTTTCCGATAAGCGGCAGATGTCGATTGAGAGGTCCTCTAGTGTTCGGGTAGGTGTTGCCTTTTGACCAATATGCAATAAGTGTGCACGTTGAGGCGTGTCAGTCATAGCGAGGATGGGGGGCTCTAAAGAGAAACAGGTGAACTGACATTGTCTGCTTGGTTGAACATAGACTTGTTGACTGGACCGGAGCGATGCCCTGCGATTGCGTGTGAATCGAAATCAGAATACATGCGAGTATCACATCAAGATGGAGGAGGGCCAAGAATTGGGGGATTGAAAACATGGGAATAAAAGTGTTGGAACGGGACGATAAGGATGAAAAAGCGTAAAGGTGGGATAAGAAGACAATAAGGCCACAGCAGTAGCATCTAAACCCCTATCCAGCCTGCTCGGTGCAGCAAATAGCATGCCGTTGATCTTCCTCTGCGACGGACAAAGCAACAAGAAACTGTTTGAAGAGAAATGTAGTGTATTGCATGAACAAGACACTGTCAAGTTGCCTAGGGTTCTCAATCAGTCTTTGGCTCAAAAACCTTACCACAAAACCGAAGGGTTTCGGCACTGAGCTATTGAGATTCAGTTTATAAAGTAAGAACCCACTCCTAGTGCAAACCTTTAGGACCAAGATTTGGACTGGGTTCTAACTACTGACCAATCTAGTGTGAATGGCTCTGAAGATGCAAAAAGCACCACCCAGCATAGCTCAACGGATCGCTGAGGCGTGCAAATCATCGCACCACGTTAAGGTCCAGTCTTGTCGCGATGGACGTAGCACTAGCCGCTGACAAACTACCCGAACTTCGATTTCGACATTTTCTGTCTATATGAAAAGTTGTTTATCTGCACAGGCAACTTCTTTTCTCGACCTGAAGCGGTTGCATAAACCAAAGCAGAAAACGTACAAAATGTAAGACAAGAGATCTGTAAAGTTCCTCTTTCTACTTGTCAAAGACAGTAGTGACCATGGTTAGGCACGCCACTAGCGTCGCCATGTAGGGTCAGGATAAAAATGAGACGAGCCAACTGATTAGCTAAGCGTAATCAGTGAAGCAATAGGTAAGTGCGTTGCGTCCGTTTCCACTCGATTTACTAACCCAGACCAATTAAGTGGCTAATGCGATACGTGTGCTGCATCCTCGTTGCGGTTGGTGTGTACGTGTGTCTGCGTGTTGAGTTCATTGTATTTCAGGGGTTGGTTGCTGTTTGATATCCCCGATATGGCTGTGTTTGATGTGAATGTTGAAAAGGTGCCTACCTGTCGATTACCTACCACCACGTCTATTGACTCCAGGTGACAATAGTGGTCAGAAGAGACGGAGTGCACTGTCCTCATGACGGTGCTAGGCTCAAAGAGTGATCTCATGCATCCGATGGGAAACGGCCTACGGCCCAGCCATCGCCTTGTGTACGTATGGGAAGCATGATCCCTCTATTCATGCATGAATGTTTCCGCTCTGCTTGTTGAATGAGTGTGAGCCGGCTCCATCGATGAAACACGGCTCCCATCCATACACCTCCCGGTCTTATTCCTTCTGGTTTACACCAGATATGGCGTGTGTGGATGGAGCTGTGGGTGGTGTAATGCAAACCACTCATGATCCCTCTATAGGCGAAGGCGTGCTGTGGCCGTGCTATAGAGGCCGCAGTGACGGGCAAATCCGGAACCAGATGCCGCCAACCAGTAGCTATCGAGAACTGGATGACGTTGAAACAAACAAGCGAGGTCACTCGGTGTACATCAACCTCAGACGTTGATGTGGAAAAACGGAAATACGACTTCGCAACTGCCATAACCATCCGATCACTGATTCATTCCTTGCTCAGCCTAAATTGACTGCAGACTCGGGGTTCCCTGTCCATAGCTACACTACGCAGAAGTTACTGACAGAGCTATAATCAAGAAGAGCAGGCGGTCCGGATGGAAAGTCCCTCGTTGTCCTCAAGGAACAGGTTGAATTCTTGAACAAAACTCTCGCTACTTTATATACAAGATAAAAGTACTGGAGAAGTGCCAGTATTACACTAATATCAAAGATATAAAGCAAATATAGAAAAATTTGTACTTTGACAGCCTAAAAAAACATAGTAGCCTGCCATGTGTATTCGGTCCTGTCATCGCTATACAATATAATCAGATCATGCGAAGCATTCGGCTGTGTAAACCGTGAATCGCTGTTGGAAAATCTGCTGTGAAGTGCATCCTTACAGCACCTTTTGTTGAGGAATTATTTTGCCACTCGTCGCGGTTACGTGTCAGCGAAACGTCGGTATTGCGTACCGGCGTACTGCTGACGCATTTTTGGGTTTTTTCACTCGTGGTTTAAACTTCGCTCACTTTACCTCGAGGTTAGTAGCCAGTTCGTCCAAAGAAGAACACCTCGAAGATCAGTTTTCTCTTACAGTGATTGACCTAACACAGTGTCACAGTCGTGAAGTTGGAAATCAACGGTAGAATTCCTAGGCCACCTCGTTTGACAACGAGGCACTTGCGTACAAAATCCAGGCTAATAAAGTCCTCCCAACTCCAATTTCAAAAAAATTCATCGATTAGGTGGTCTGGTGGACTACCATAGACTTCGTATCTTTTGCTGTGCTCAGCACATGCAGCCCCTAACTGATCTCAGAGGGAATGAACATAAGTTTGTTTTCCTGAACAAAGCTTTTGCCGAGTTCACTCAGAACGGACTGCAGCTATCTCTCACAACTGATGCCCTAGACGTCGCGGTAGGAGTTGATCTACAACAGGATAATGGTGCGCAATCGCGTTAGTGGTTTTCCGTCAAACGACAACTAGCAAAATTCCGCTGCAGGACGTTGGACAGAGAAACACTTACCATCTACTTAGCTAATTTCCACTTCCGGAAAAAAATTCGGTTGTTTTTACGGTATACACTGAGCACAAGCCCTTGCCTACAACTAAAACTCTGGAACACTCACCACGGGAAATTAGACACCTGGACATTGGTACGAGGTTTACTGATGACATACTTCATGTCTCAGGCATCGACAATCCCGTCGCAGACGCTCGCTTACTATTCAGTCGAAGTTCCACAGCAAATGTGCCACTTTCAAGCACACGTAAACAGCAGCAGCACATCTGAAAATCAGCACGACGGGAGTGCGGATTTCAAAAGAATTGGATCCTAGTAGTCTTCCCTCAGTTCAGAGTGTGAAAAATGTGTCGTAATAAAAATGATTACGCTAAAAAAAGATAAGGCAATAATAATTATTTCACACTACCCGAGTTGGGAGGGTGACAGCGGTACCGACTTTGAGCCCCTCGATTTGAGTAGCTTCCAGTTGTGACTTCGTGTAGGGCCACCTAACTTGAGATGAAAATGCTGCTTTAGCTTGTTCCCAAATTCCCCTCTTAGTATGCTCCTCATAAAGATGAGGTCTCCATGACAGCGGCGATGGTCCATGGAGAACAGATTCATATGAAGCCGGAGGGAGTAGAGAAGATCACGAAGTCCAGAAGCGGACTTAAAGCCACACCTCGGAACCTTTCCGTCTCAGGCGCATTCAAACTTTGAGATAGGAAATGTAGCTGGCACCTCACACTCTAGAATCAGTCGTACATGGGAAGTAACCAGGATCCTGAAGATCTTCGGTGTCGTCCGATAGAAGGATCTTATGGCACAACACATCCTGTTTGCTGTGGCGATATTTTTCCATGTATCCGGTGTGGTTTTTAGATCAGGTTCTATTATTACGCTTAGATCCTTCTGTTGAGCTGTTGAGAAGAAACCCACCAATGTGGTAAGTTTCAAGTGGCTCAGAAGC